CCTTTATAAATTGGGACCGAGAGTAGTGAGTTTTAATTTTTCTCTCGGATATTTCTCTCTTTTGAGGTTTGGGTAGGGACAAAAATTGGTAAAAAGAAATGTGCAGCTTTTTGTTTTTAAAGTTATGCTTTTATTTGAGAGATTTTCGGCATCAAATTAAAGCCAACCCCACTCACATAATAATAATTGGTAAGAAATAGAAAAGCAAAAGCAAAAGTAGGTAAATAATTTCTTCAATAAAGATCTCACGAGGAGCTATTACATCACCAATCTCGAGCTTGTCTCGAGATTCTCACCTTTTTGGCATGATTATGTCTTTGTGTACTTGTAAAAATTATCGATAAATAATTTTGTTTACTTAACTTTTCAGTTCCGTTTTTCCCACTTAAATAAAGCATATTTGGAACATTTACATGCAGAAAATTTCTACAGTTGGCTCTTCGACAGAATAGTAAACTTGTTTCCTTTTTTCTATCACTATTAAACTTTTCATTAAGATCGTTGCATATTGAGAATATTTTAGTAAGAAAAGTTCCTTCTTTAACAGACTTTACGATAAGAATTTGAATCATTCAAGATTCTAATACTCATACCAAATTAAATATCAGGTGAGAAACAAAAAAAATGTACAACAATAAATTCAATATAATTTCATGACGAAGTTTGAGGAGAATAATGTGTATACAAATCTTATACCTCCATCGAAGGAGGGTAGAAAAACTATTTCTAAATAGACACTCGGCTCAAGAAAAAATAATACAAAAACAAAAACAAAAAAAAATATACACCATACTAATTAAATGAGTGTCTTTTTCTTTTATTGGAATTGAATTTAAATGGTAATACTTTCATTCAACATCATATGGGAATAGGATCTTAATTCCATTCTCTATCTTTCCCATGTCAACTATTCTGGCTCATTTTGAACCCTAAAAATATTTTTGATTAAAAAATAGTTTAATTGTTTCTAAAAGTATGAGTATAGCGGTACAATCAAACCTCTTTATAACAACCCCGTTTGCTTCAGATATTTTTGGATGTTATGGCGAATTGTTGTTATAGAAAACGTATATTATAATAGAACATGAAATTTGGTTCCGAAAAAACTTGACTTTTATAGTGAAGTGCTGTTATATAAGAATGTTGTTATAAAGTATTTAGCAAGAACTTTTAAAGATCTCTACCTGTATGATATGGCTCAACTCCAAGAACTTTTAAAGATCTATACCTTCATGCCTTCTATCTGGTTTGGAGCTCCGACTATTTGCATTCACGCTACATAAGTCTTATTTAGGAGAAAAACGCTTCTTATCAGAATTTATTTCATTTTTAGAATTCGAATTCGAGACATATAAGGGATGATCTTCTCCCCCTTTCTCCTCATACCCCTACTTATATTCATTTCAGGTTAAGATATTACAATGTAGTAGTTGTTTTGGCTAATTAAATTTGTTTCAAAAATTTATAAATACGAGACTTTCTGTTTCAGTTAATGAAGTATTAATTATAATTAAACTAAATGAAACATTTAAGAGAGATGAAAGTAGTTTAGGCAAATACTTTTATAGGCTTTTAAACGACTTTTTTTTATAAAGTATGCAAAAATCTTAAATAAGAAAATATGGACCATGGATTAGGCTTTTATATATTGACAACTTGAATGAAATATTTAAATAATTTAACTCGAAATACTGGTAATACTTTCACTTTAATTTATAAATCGAAGAAGGATTTTCTTATTTTCTCATGAGGTAAGAAACTATAGATCGATGTACGTACCATCTATATATCAGTGGTCACTGGGACACACTCGATGTGTGTCTACAATTATTGATTGGCATATTTTGGCATTTTGTTAATTAACAAATAGTTTTAAACTAAATATCAGTCTAAAAATGATAAAATCTAGCACGTAACAATTATGGGAAATTTGCAAAAGCAACTATTATGGACAAACTCAGGAATTTACTCTTAGGTGGTGAAACTTTTCTATGAGCTAGTAGTATATAATAGAAAGAGAAATTATTAATCACAAGTTATCAATGCAAATGCCATTTTATACAAATTGAGCTACCATTAAGGGTCGTGATGAGATGAATAAGATCCCTTCATAGAGGCGAAGCCAGGATATGAAGTTTATGCTTTCGAGATTATAGTCCTCTTAAGTTACTGGATTCTAATAATTTGTATATATTTAATAATTTTTTAAAATAAATACAAAATTTGAACAAAAATTACTTGGTTCGGCCGAATCTGTAGCCGAAGAGCTAACTCCTCTCATGCCTCCCCCTTAATTAAAAGTTTCGAATTCGAGCTTTAGGTATGAAAAAATTCGAAGTGTTTCCCCTTTAATAGTCCTTACGTGACGTGAATCTGAATTAATCGGGTTACCATGTAGATATCTTGTATTGGTTGGGACACTAAAAGTAATGGAGGTAAAAAGAGTCAATAAACTAAGAGCCCGTTTGGACATAATAAATTTTTTTCTTCTTACCAAAAAAAATAAAATTATTTTTTTTCGAAATCAGCGTTTGTTCATAAAATTTTCAATTTTCACTTGAAAATGTATTTTGGAAATTTTTCGAAAATTTGAAAAACTCCAAAAAGTTGTTTTTCAAATTTTTCACTCAAATCACTCACAAAACTTCAAAAATAACTCAAAATTATATTCATATTCAAATACAACTCTAAATTTCAAATATCATTTTCACTTGAAAAATATTTTTTCACATTTTTAAATTTTACAATTCTTATGTCCAAACGCCCACTAAGACATTGTAAAAAAGTGAAGATGATTATGGAGAAAATTAATTGTGGAGGAAGCTGCAAATCTGACTTCTCTCCTTTCACATTTGTATGCCAGGCAAGGTACTGTTTTAGTTTTAAGTTTGTATTTTAAATCTCATCTAATTGGCCTCATAAATGATCTACTTTAGGTCTATGTATTAGCGGTGCAAAAAATATTTACAAAATTGAGTCACTTATAAAATAATTACAGGTAAATCTTCAATATAATGCCCGTAACCTAATTAAAATGGTGCCTTGCGAGTTATTACAAAATAATCTACACTGATAGTCTAGTGCACGAAGCATCCAACGTTTATGCAAGGTCCGGGGAAGGGCCACACCTTAAGGGGTATGATGTAGACAGCCTACCCTGATACAAGCATTATGGTTGATTTCACGGTTCGAAACCGTGACCTATTGGTCACAAGGAGACAACTTTACTATTGTTCAAATCCTCCCCTTTACAGAATAATCTGCACTATAGTATAAAAAGATTTTGCAATATCAATTTAAAACTTAAATCCAACCACATTTGTATTACATGTAATACTGTCTTTGGATTTTGGGAAAAGATCAGTTTTAGGATCCGTTTGGGCATAAATTTTGACAAAATAAACTTGGGTTTTATTTGTCCAACACATATTTGGCCATAGATTTTGATGCATTTTGGCCAAATCCCAAGTTCCATATCCCAAATCCCAAAATCAGCTCAATAGCTTGTTTTGGATCAAAATATCACTATTATATTTTTTAAAAACTGTCCCAAACTTTTGTATTTTATAAAAGAGTCCACCATTTATTATTTTGTAACGATGTTGCTTCGTATTCTCGGTCATCTGATAGTGTATCATATGGTTCATTATAAAAATAATAATTTTGTATCAAATTTATTTATGTTCAGGACTATGGTTTGCGATAATATAATGAATTTAATTGATAATAGTATTGTTGGGTATTTGAAATAGTTTTAGAACTTGTGGGTATAAGTCATATTTCATGTTTTTCCAAACCAAACTTCACCCAAAACAGATGTCCAAACACATTTTCATCTTCAAACCAAATTTCACCCAAATCAAAATTTTCAGAATAAATTTGGGAATCCATGGCAAACGGTAACTTAGTATGTCTGCACATAAATCATGATTTGTTTCTCCTAAAATAACCATTATTTTGCAGATTTCCAATTTCACATGGAATATTAGATTCCCTGCTCTTTTAATTAAAACTCAGATTATTTGAAGCAATCCCAATAAGCATGTCCTACTTACCCACAACCCCTCACCCTCATGACCCAAATAAGAATTTTCAGAATAAATCCATTTTAATAATCATTTTAGTGCTTAACAGTCAGGTTTCCAAATAAACTTTACATTTTTTTATTTCTTGAAAAAAGAAACTGTGAAGAATTCTGTGTTTAGTCACCTTTCTTCTTAACCAATGCCTGATTGAAGGAATTTTTTCTTTTTTCACCACCATTTGAATTTATCTAGACATGTTTAATTAAATAATATCCAACTTTTTTCAGGTCTCACATTCGAATTTTGAGAATTTAGGCCGAAACCCATATGGCAACGTGAATTTGAATTAGTAGGACCAAAGGGTTAATTTTTTTTTTTTTTTTTTTTTTTT